CCCACAGATCTATGCAGGTACCAGCTTCATGTTTTCCCTCTTCATTTGCACATGGATCATAGTTCCTTGGATCTCTTGCTCTGTAATCTTTTTGTAGCTTCCACATTCAGGAACTTTCTCTCCTTTCTGTGCTGCTGTAGGAATTCTCTGCCCACAAAGATGATTTGGTATTAAGTTTGTCTAAAAGAAAACTGTCTATAAGTAGTTTACATGGAAAGGTGTTCTTTGCTCCCCTATCAGGAAGTATCTAACTGCTGACACTGCTGTCTCTGCTTAGGTAAAGCCTGATGCCAAGACTCATTTTGTCCATCTTGGTGCCTCTTTGGTTTTGGGAAGTCAGTTTCCATCCTAGTGTGAGCTAGTCATACCTAGAGGAGGCTAATGGCTCCAGGTATCAAATGGAGGAAAAACCATGCCTACTTCTCCCTTTCTCCCTTTCTCTTTCTTTCTAAGACAGCAAAAGCTAAAATTTCCAGAACCACTTACTGCAAGTTTCTGACCTACTCATGTACCTCACGACTATTCCTACACGTAACAGAGTCTGAGATGCACACACCTGGCCCCGGGTACGATCAGTGACAATCTGTTAGTCCACACCTCAGCACCCTACACCTAGCCAGGAAACTAACTGGCAACAACAAGCTAATGGTTGGGCAGTTTCATTCACAATGACCTTTCCTTTCCAAACTCACCTTTCCCATCCGGAGGGTTCTTCTTTCACAGATGGGAAACATGCCACGTGAGGTCCAATTCCTTCCATACAAGCCTTGGGTTAGTCCTCTGCGAAGGTGTGATATCTGTCATGACCCCTCACGTGCTATTGATCCTTCTATTAATTTTGGGAGTATCTGTGGCCAAGAGCACTATTCTGGTGAAGTGTTGGAAATCAAAACCTGAGTATGAATCCTAAATTTGGGGTGAGTGCCTATTTCATCCTGCCTTGTGGAATGGGATGAACATTTGAATGCATTAGGGAATCAAAGCACTGGAAATGGCATTTGACATGTGGCCTGAACTCAATGACACCAATTCTCCAGCTTTGGTTAATATCACTCTTTAGCAATTTGGATCCATGTTTCCTTGTTACTCTAAAGGTTCTTTGGATGACATATATTATTACTTCAAACAAGCCTGCAGAATCGTGTACATAGTAGTCACAGTATTTGCTAGGTTGATGAGCAGACCTAAATAAGAGGCAGCAGCATCCATAGCTCAATGGTGGGGCAGCAGCTTTTTTTCAGGAGGGAGCGGCACACTGTGAATCACTTCGCTTTTGCCTCTGCTTTCAAGATGATCAGGGACCCATACTCACCTGAGAGCGAGAGGTGTTCTCATTGTGAACCATCTGAGCTCTGACTCCTGAGATTCCGTCCTGCTGTTTATGCATTGTCCCCTTCTACTACCAGACAGAAAACTGACCAGTGTTCAGCTCCAAATCAAGAGGCAGATTGATTTCTGGGACTCAGATTCTTTGCCTTACCGTATCAGCTTGTATCTCCTCAAGCCACTGAAAAGAGACTTTCTCCGTCAGGGCCAAGGTGCCTGAAAGGAATAGTCTTGGCTGTGATACATTTCTTTGCTTGTGCCATCTCTGATGAAACCCTCTCTTCCCCAAGCATGTGCTCCACAGGTATGTGAGTTAATTGGCACCAAGTGGTACAAACTCCAAGTATATTATAGACATAAAGAAAATACACTTTAAAAGTTAAGGGCTGTCTAGCCCATACCATTGGCTCATGCCTGAAATCCTAGCTACTCAGGAGGCCAAGCTCTGAGGATCACAGTTTAAAGCTAGCCTGAGCAGGAAAGTCCACGAGAGACTTATCTCCAATTAAAAAGCAAAGGGCAGAAATGGAGATGTGGATCAAGTGGTAGAACAACAGCTTTGAGTCAGAAAGCTAAAGGACAACACCTAGACTTTGAGTTCAGGTCCCAGTACACACAAACACGCACACACATACACACACTCACACTCATTTACACACACACTCATTCACTTCTCTTCCTCTGTTTTTCCAAGCTCTCTTTTCTCATCTTTTACCTTTATGAACATGTTCCTTCCCATTACATATTAATCACCCATTTCTCTCTTCTGCTCATTGATTGGTTTTGCTCACCTGTGGGCCATTCCATAAAAAGGTCTGGCCATCTCCTGGAGTCATAAAACTCCATGCATCAGTTCCACCAGTGTGGGCCGGTAAGCCCTCAGACGGAGAGTGTGTCCGCCCCTCCACTAATCACATTGCCAAATGGAGTTTGCTCTCATTTGCTTAATCGCTCAGCTGTAATTGAATCCTGATGGGAAGCTGGCCTTCCATCCAAAGTGATTCTGATTTTCCTGCTGAGAAGGTGGTAAAGTTGCTTTGCTGTGTTTTGTTTTTCTCTCTAGCAGCCCCCAGGACAGTTTGCAGATGGTTTCATTCATCCTTCCCTCCTGTCTAAAGACTTCCAGACTCGGAGGAATTACAGTGTGGAACTAGTAGTAGCCATTGCCTGGAGACACCATTGCCCACCCCCCCCCTCCCCGGTTCTGTCTCTATCACCATGATCACCGCATAGTTTATAACCAAGCCTAATGATCCATCCCCTCCCTTTCTCACCTTTATGGCTCCTCAAGAAGTTGACCAGACTCTCAGTGCATAAAACCTGCCCCTTCCTACAGCAGATATGATGGTACCTAGGAACATTGATCAGAATCGACTCCCCTTGGCTACTGGCTGCATCTTCATTCTCCTGTGGCATGGTTTGCAAAGACTGGTCCTCAGAGAAACAATGTGTACAACATCCCTTGGGAATGTGTGTATATGTGCGTGCGTGCATGCGTGCGTGTGTGTGTGTGTGCGTGTGTGTGTGTGTCCATGCTTTGCTTTTTCACTCAAAGCTGCCTCTTCTACCACTTGAGCCATGCCTCCACTTGTGGCTTTTAGCAGATAAGAGTCCTTATAGACTTGCCTGCCTGGGCTGTCTTCAAACAGCAATCATCATATCTTAGCCCCCTGAGTAGCTAGAATAACAGGAGGGGGACAGCAGCACCTGGATCACCTGGGAACATGTTAAAACATTCACATTAGGTGTTTGGTTCTAACCCATGATACTTGTATCCATTCAACCCCTAACAGCTATGCTAGGAAGGAAAGATATTCCCTCAAAGGAAAGAAAGGCATATGTTCAAACCATAGAGTGATGGATATGCATTTTGTGGGGAGATACTTGAAGGTAATGTAAATGTTCAGGTTTGAATCATTATCACAATGTTTTAGTGATAGAATGTTTTCCCTTATCTCCTCCAGACTTTCAATTTGGAAACATCCAGCAAGCAAATTTCTAATCTCTTTTCTCACGTGTTCACGTGTGCATCCTGGCATTTATTTGCAGTGGTAGAGGTTCGTAGATTGCCTGGTAGATTCTTTGGATAATAATTCACTGGTATCATTTTACTGTCGATAGTGAATCACTTCCTGTATATGTAGGGGTTTTGTTTCTTTTTTTTCTCCAGACACTTACTTCTTGCTTCTTGACACTGAATGATGATCCAGGCTGAATCGTGTCTGAGCCTTGCTCTAGTCTTAGAACAAACCATGTTTCAGGGGAGACATTGTTCTCATTGTTGAAAGGTGGTAGAGCAAAGCCAACAACCAGGCCTAGCCGTGCTTAGTGCCATGTGTGTCACAGAATCTACCTCCTCTCTGAGGAGAATGCTAGCTGATAGGAACTAAGATATGTGAGCACTCTTCTTCGCTACAAAACGTGGAATCGTTTGTCATTGTGTGGATGGTTCTAGCAATGTCAGTTGGGTCAGTGGAGTGATGTACGTGTTAGACGTACATGTTTTGGGAGCCTCAGAGAAGACTTTGTGCGCATTAGAAGTTGAAAGCCACCTGTGTAGGCAAAAACTCATGGAGATAAAAGTATCATGGAGGTTTAATTCGGGGAGAGGTTAGAGTTTATAGTTTTATGTTGTGGAAGCCTAGCAATACCCACCCAGTTGTCTGTACACTAGGCATACAGTCGTTCACTACAGATATGCCCCAAGTACCTTACAGAGATAGAAAAGCATTCCTCTTGTTTCTACCTCTAATCCATCTTTCCTTTGAATGATCAATATAATTTTTCCCACAAATTCATTGTCTACTCTTTTTCTACATCAGCCTGCCTACCTGCTTTCCTTCCTTCCTTCCTTTCTTTTGGCCTTCCCTTCCTTCCCTCTCTACCCTCCCCTTCCTTCCCATCTTCTAGCCTCCCCTCTCTACCCTCCCCTTCCTTCTTTCCTTTTTCTTTTTTGTGTACTGGTTCTGGTGTTTCCATTTAGGAGCATCACACTCTCTCTGCACATGTTTATTCAAGGCTGGTGCTCTACCACTTTATCCATAATTCTACATTTAGGTTTTCTCTGGTTAATTGAAGATAAGAGCCTCATGGACTTTTATGCCTGGGCTGGCTTCATTCCACAATCCTCAGCTCTCAGACTCTTTGAGTAGCTAGAATTACAGACACATCTGTCTGTGCCTGGCTACATCGGTAGTTCTTAATGTGGGTGATGCCAATTACCAGATCCAGGGGCCACTACTCAGGAAAAGCTAGAATAAGATGAAGCCCACCTATTGATTCATGGAGGGCTACATATTTTCCCAACTTGAGATTCATGTCAGAAATACCAGGATGACTCTGAGAAGTATAGAGCCCAAAGGTCTGTTGGCTGCTCCCTTTCTCTGACACAGAATGGGCAACCGTAAATACTTGCCATTGTTTTCCAGAGGATTAAATAAAATAACACAGGTAAACCGTGTAACAGCCTGGGCCCATAGAGAGTAGTTAATTAATAAAGGTTTGGTTTACAAAATAAATGATTTGTAGAAGCGTCTGTTCTAGCCTCGGACCTGGTGGCTCATTGCGGACTACGCAGAATTTGAACCTCCTACATCTCCCAACTACTTGCCCCAGTTTCTTTGATGACTGATGTGGGAACTCCATTGACATTCTGCTTTTCTTTTCTTGAACAGGTGGGCTCTGCATTGCCCAGTCGGTGAAAATCCCCCAAGAGCGCAAAGACAGGACCATTGACTTTGATAGAATTATCAAACAGCTCCTGGACACCCCCAACTCCAGGGCCGTCGTCATTTTTGCCAACGATGAGGATATAAAGTAAGGATGACTGCGGCAGTTCCTTAGGATGTGCGTGGGATCAAGACCCTGGCGGTGAAGGGGAAAAGATAACATCAGAGCAAAGCTCTCTATTGCCACACGGGGAGTTATGATCAACACAGAAGTGGCAGTGTGTTGCTGGTCCTGGACTCTCTTGGGTCAGAAAAATATGTGTTCAAATACCCGCAAAATGAAACAAAGATTATGACGGGTGCAGGTGGCTCAGACCTGTCATCCTAGCTATTCAAGAGGCTGGCATTCAGATGAGGAAGGCCCAAAGCCAGCCAGGGGAAGAAAATCCCATGAGAGTCCATCTCCAAAATAGCCAGTAAAAAGACAGGCTGGAGGTGTGACTCTGACGGTAGAGTACCAACAAGCCGGAGGATCCTGAGTTCAAATTCCATTGCCATCTACAAGCAAACACTAGCTCTTTTAAATCTCAGTTTTATTAAAAACCATACCCAGTGATAGTGTGATTTGATCTAAAGAATGCCTCCTAAAAAAATGTAAAAGAAAAAAAGTCTCACAATCCTTGCTAATGTCTTAAACTTTTTGTGCTAGAAACAAAAGAGTCACGCCTCTGTGTCCTCCAGTCTACTTGTCTTGTCCTTTTCCTCACAGTGATCTCCCTCAGACACAAAGGTCCACTCGCAATCTTGACTTTCCTTTCTCCCTAGTGCTTTCGCAGGCAGCCAAACCACACTGTACTAGCCGGAAAACACACTCCTCCGATTCTCACTACCAGTCTGGCCTACCACCTTCCTTCCTTCCTCCCGCTTTCTCTTCCTTTTTCTTCTTTCCTTCTTTCAGGCAGTAGAAGCAAGTGAGCCCAGGATTTTACTTTGCTAGGCAGGCACTCTGCCACTTGATCCATACCTTCAGTCTTCATATTTTTGAGACAGAATCTCACTTTTAGCCCCCAAAAGTCCTGGACTGTGCTCCTCCTATTTCTGCTTCCTGCTATTGCTGGGATGGATGAAGAACATGTGTTACCATTACCACATTCATTCTGTTGAGATGGGATCTTATGGACTTTTAGGCTAAGCTACCCTGGGACTTTGATCTTCCAGATCACAGCCTCCCAGTAGCCTGGTTGACAGATCACACACCGAGCCCATCTATTGCCTGAGTCGGCCTCTCCTAAACTTTTTCCCTGGCTGGGATCAAGGCAATCTCTACCTTGTGCTTAGTTAGGTTGACAGGCATGAGCCACCAGTGTCCAGCTCAGAATCTTTATCTCTGTTGAATTAGAGTTAATGACATATGATTGAAAAGTTAACAAGTACACTTTGTAAGTGTCCTGTTCAAGTACATGTCTTCCATCCTGTCCACTTGCTGATAAGTTTTCCCCTTCAGGTAGCATGGCCCCATTATCACTTTCTTGTGTATATTTTCCCCCCTGGGGACATTCTGTGTTTGCTTCTTCTTTCCTATCTTCAAACATGATGAACATTCTTTCATGTGTCCACTTTGTACCTGACTTGGCACTACTCAGTACTTTTACCACAGAGGCCCTGAATGTCTGCACTGATGGGCTACTTTGAATGGCCATGCAGATCTCCATTTTAAATATGGACTGTAATTTATCCAACAGCTCCCTTGTCAAATGGCAATAAAATTCGATGATAAGCTTTTATAGTTATGCATACTGCTGTAGTAAAGTTCCATTGCCATAAATATGCATGCACAAATGTAAACATGAACACACATAGTTGTGTCATTCAATTGTGTTGCATAAGACCTGAATATATATTAATGCGATGCACATATATAATATACAAATATAGTACTGAATATGTTTGTCTTAAAAGAACTTAGAAGACCAATTACAAGAAAGTACTAGGACAAAGATGTGTGCATTCTTGAAAATTATGAATGTGTCTCCCAGAGACATACATATCACATATGCAGTTTGTCTTTGACCAATATGAAAGAGTTGTGGTTTCAGTTTTTGTCCATCTTGAAATTCAAAGCCATGGGTCACTGAATTTGAAGATGAGCGTCTTTTGTATTTGCTGGACCTGGGACTTGAACTCTGGCCCTGGGCACTGGCCCTGAGCTTCTTTTGCTCAAGGCAAGCTTTCTACCACTTGAACCATAGAACCACTTCCAGCTTTTTTGAGTAGATTATTGGAGATAAGAGTCTTACAGAGTTTCCTGCCCAGGCTGGTTTTGAACCATGATCCTCAGATCTCAGCTTCCTGAGTAGTGAGGATTACAGGCGTGAGCCACTGGTGTTTGGCTGAGCATCCTTTATTGAGTAAAATCAAAAGACCCGGGGTATTGTTTGTTCTTACTCAGATTTTCCTTCTGTGGTTCTCACCAGCCTTCTACTCTTTTGTCTCTCTCTAATCTGTGCATTGCACAGAACACACCTGAATCCATCCATCATGCCAGTCTGAAGCTCTGATCGCAGGCACACAGGAGACAGTAATACAACATGTGTAATTGTCACTGTATTCTGACACTTAGTCAAGCAATGTCTCTCCTTGCTCAAGTTCCTTCTGGAGACTACCGACTCTTTGTAACTCAATTCCCCTATTAATGAGATGAAAATCCTCTCCCATTCTCCACAGGAATGTCTGGTCTTGTTCTACCTTCTGAATCTCAGAAGGCCCCAGGGAGGTCTGCTTCAGTCTCCAGCCTGGCAGGTCTTGTGTCTTCTCTTCTGTCTACCTAGAATGCTTCTCCTTCCTGACATCTTCATTCCAACGCCACTTCTACTGATTAGTTTGCCAAGGAAGCATTCTCTGAAGAATGTTGCTCTAGGAAATTCCTCATACCAAAGCGACTCCTTAGTTTATGTCCATAGTGTAAATTTATATTATTGTTGGCTTAATCATCTCTATCAGCCTTCTGCGTTACTCTGTAAAGCGTTAGTAGCTATCCTAGTGGTAAGCTAGTAATACATCTTTAATAAATGACATCAGATGAGTGACTTGGTCCAAGGTCTAGTACTTAACAACTTACATGTAAGCTTTTCTGAATTTCATCAGTGATTTAAAATTTGGCTCTGCTTCACTATTCTTTCTACTACCTACCTATCTATCTATGGTATTTGGGGCCTTGTTTTTGCTTGGCAAGCATGGTACCACTTAAGCAACAACTCCAGTTTATGTTTGCTTTAATTTATTTGTCAGATAAAGTCTCACTATGGCCTGAGGCCAATCTTGGAATGTGATCCTCCTACATCTACCTACTGTGTAGCTGTGATTATAAGTGCGTGCCATCCTGTTTGGTTTGTTTTTGTGCATGGAGTATTGTGAGGATTTTTTGCTTGAGTTTGCCTGTAACCATGGTCATTTAATCTCTGCTTGCCATGGAGCTGGGATTACACGTGTACCCCACCATGCCCTCACCTTATTTTTTTAACATTTTACACATACCCAGGTGTCTACCTAAATTGTGTGGTGGCTCTTTTAGTAGGTTCAAATTAAATCTCTTGTGAATTTTCCTCATCATATCTTTTGTCTCTCTGTTGAAATTTACCTTCAGTGTCTCTTTTAATTAATTAATTAATTTTAATTATTATTGTAAAGGTGATGTACAGAGAGGTTGCAGTTACATAAGTCAGGTAAAGAGTGGATTTCTTTCTGAACAGGGTCACCTCTTCCCTCGTTTTCACCCAGTTTTTCCTTCCCAACCTGCCTGCCCCACCCCCCAGCTGGATAGTTCATTTTCAACATGTGTAGTGAGTATCATGGCTGCGTTTTGATGTCTCTTTTGTGTGTGCTTTTCTCTAGGGAAGTGACCACTCTTAATATAAATTTGATTCTTATGAAATGCTGATTCTGAGGGTTTTAGAATATTTTCTCTCACTCTATGTTTTAACAGTTTGTGAGATTTTATTGGCTTTTGTCCTCTAGTCTGTTTTCCCGCCACACCCCATATCAGCAGTAGGCTTCTTTCTTAATCCTCTCATAAATCCTTCTCGTGTCTATTTTACGCCTTTGCTAAATATGGAATATACTGGTAAGATGTGCTCTCCCATTTATCTTTAAAATGCTGGCAGCGCATGAAAGATATACTTCAGATAGCTCTTGTGATTGTAGTCATTTTTACCTGCTGGTGGTGTGCCATCCTAATTCAGGATGAAAATTAAAGTGATCACACTGTTCTTAGGTTGGGGTACCTTGTGAGTGTCAGGGTACAGTATGCTGTGACTCGTGGCAGTGGTAGCAGTAGTGCTTTCTGAGCTCCGTCATGAGTCAAGTGTATCTGTGTCTTCCAAAATGAGATCTTCAGAGAGTGAATGTCTGAGGAGTCCCGACAGCCTGCAGTGTTAACTGTGTCTCTTCTTTCGTAGGATTCATATGGTAGATTGAGAACTTTGAAATTTCCCAGAACATTAACTTCACATACTTTGTGAGACACTAGCAGGGAGAAGATATTAATACCTAGATGTTACAGGCTTAATCAGCCATGGGTATTGATCATTTGGATTTTGCAAAAAAAGAAAATATTTACTAACACCATTCTGAGTATAAAAGTAGCGTGCGCGCGCACACACACACACACGCACACCCCAACTGTATTGGAAAAATAACATACTGTTTTAACATAACCTTACATTTGACATTATCTTTGGTTATCTAGAAAAAATTATGAATTAGAATAACCACGAACAATAATTTTAAACAGTCTAGCATAGATCCAGTATACTAAACACTCTGAAAAAACCACTAAGAAAATACTGGTACAATCTCCATATAAGTTTTGTACATGTACAAGTTTAGCCTAATAAAATAAAGATCATATAGAATGCTACATGTAGCCTTTTGCAGTTCATGGTAGAGGTTAATAATATTTTATACCTTACATTTTGTAAATGGTTTAGTTTTATTTAGCTGGTGACTAATCCAGAACTTTATGAAAACATGTTAAGATACAAACATATTTTGTGCCATTTATATCCATTTTGTGCTTAAATATTATATATATATATATATATATATGTAATTATGTTTCCTACTTTTTCCTGGAAATATCCCTTTGGAAATTCTCATTTAAAAAACTTGAACCAGTTAATAGACTTTTTTCTTTAATATTCTTTTATTCTTTCACTTGATTTTTCTGTCTCTGTTCATGTCTCTTTCATTCTTGGTTTATTTTCTAATATTCCTGGAGACATTATTTAGCAACTTTTAGAAAGAATAAATTGAGCTGGGTGCCAGTGGCTCATGCCTGCAATCCTAGCTACTCAGGAGGCTGAGATCTGAGGATCACAGTTCAAAGCCAACCCAGGCTTTGGAAAAGCCATGAAACTCTTATCTCCAATAAACCACCAGAAGTGGCACTATGGCTGAAGTGGTAGAGTGCTTGCCTTGAGCTGAAGAGCTGAGGGACAGTGCCCAGGCCCAGAGTACAAGCCCCATGACCAACAACAACAACAAAAAGTAAATTGAAAGAAAATTTCTTTGTGTGCTTAATGCATAAAAGTGTTTTTTTTCTAACTCCATTCTTAATTAACAAGTATTAAGGACTGATCTGACATTACTTTTAAATAAATCTTACCTGGCATAACAATGATATACAACAAATGCTAGTAGTGACTAATTAGAGAAGTGTGTGTGTGTGTGTGTGTGTGTGTATGTGTGTGTGTGCGCGTATGCCAGTATTGAGACTTTGACTTTCCACTCAACTTTATAACTCACAGATAGCGCTCTACAACTTGAGCCGTGCATCAGGTTGGGCTTTTATGGAGTCTCTAAAATATGTCTGTCCAGATTGATTTCAAACTGTGATCCTTATATCTCAGTCTCCTGAGCAGCCTGAAGTGTTGGCATGAGCCCCCAGCCCCCAGCAGGTTTAAAGGACCCTTAAAACATGTGTGAAACTCTAACTGGGTATAAGAAAAAAATCTACAAGACTCACTAGGGACATAGAAATTCTCCTTGGGGTTCTTTATGGGTTGAACATTAGAAATTTTAAGCTAAGAAATCGTTTTCCTTCAGAATTCTGGAGTTATTGCATGTATTATCCTTCATCCATTTTTCCCCTTTTGCTTCTGAGAAATTAATTTTCAAGTTCTCATTTCTCTGCACTATTATTTTTGCTCAAAAAGCTTTTAGAACACCCTTATTACTTCCAAATGACCGTATTTTTTAAAATATGCTTTATCTTCTCCCCCTTTTTATATTGGTTACATTTCTAGGTTAAATTTTATAATTCACATGGATTTTTTTTATAATTATGGAATGTTCTGGCAATTCACATTTGTACAAGGCCCATAAGACCTCTCTGCAGAAGCCTTATCAACTAATGGGGCTCTGGATGAACAGGCCAAGCATCAAGCTGGCCTTTCTATGTCAATATCTATGATCTTTTTGGCAGGAACTTTTCCAGAAAAATCACTCTCTTCCTTAAGCAACATACCCATGGTTCTAGCATTCTATAAGCTGCAGTTTAATTTTTCCAAGAATGCCTTCCCATTTCAGTACTTAATATACTGGCCTGTACCCATTCCTTCCCTCCCCCCATATTTAGCACACTGTCTCTCATCTACCTTTTGTCCCTTGGGTGTCCACAATATTACTGTGTGTTCCTTACAATTGTCTTCAGAAATTTCCATTCCATTTCCTGCCTAGAGGAGGAAGTACGGCCGGATTTTGCCTTTTCATATATAAGTACTTCTCCCATAGTTCCCTTTGCACCTCTACCTGCTATGAGCAAGTCTGGTAGTGTTACCCACCAAAGGAGTTTTAGATCTAAATTTCATGTGTTCTGAAAATGTCATTAGCTTTTATCTGTCTCCTGGCCTTCCAAAATATCATTTCAATAACTTTTCCATTAATAACTAATTTCCCTTTGTTTATTTCATTAACTTTCATCGTCCTTGCTGCTCACAAAATGTGTTTTTCCTCCATAAATAGGTTGAAATTTTTTCCATTTTTATCAGGGAATTCTGTTCATTTTTAATAACTAACTTAAATACTGTGGTTTATCTTGATATATTGCTTTCTAGAAATGATATTTAACAGTGGCTCTGAGTGACAGTACTCGTTTCTTCAGCTCCAGGCCAAAATTCATATAACAAAACCAAAAAAATGCCTAATATAAAAGCAAATTTAGTATCTTACTCGAATTTCTATTTGTATCCTTTCTAAAGCATGTGAATATCCATCTCAGTTTTACGCCATTTGTCTTTCTTCATTTAATGTCCTATGCCTATTGTGCTCAAGATCCTTTGGCATTATTTTTGTGCAAGTACTAAGGCTTTCACTCAGGGTTTAAGAGCTGTCCTCTAGCTTTTTCTGCTCAAGGCTGAAAGTCTAACACGTGAGCCACAGTTTTACATCTGGCTTTTGGGTGGTCCACTGGGGGTAAGAGTGTCATGTACTTTCTGGCCCAGGTTGGCTTTGAACAGCGATCCTCAGATCTCAGTCCTCTGAGTAACCAGGGTTATAATCATGAGCCACCATGGTTCAGCTACACTTTGACATCTTTATTATTAGTTGCATGCTTTCTTGACTTCGACTTAGAATTCTGAGAATGCTCCTGCTCACACCTACCTTCCACTTTACTTACCTTATTGTGCTCCTTTTCCCAGGCAGATCCTCGCAGCAGCCAAAAGAGCCGATCAAGTGGGCCACTTCCTTTGGGTGGGATCAGACAGCTGGGGATCCAAAATAAACCCGCTGCACCAGCACGAGGACATCGCCGAGGGCGCCATCACCATCCAGCCCAAGAGAGCAACGGTGGAAGGTACATGGCCTGTCACCAGTGGGATGTGTTCCTAGACTGGCAGCTGTTGGTTGGTGGCTAGAGGGTGTGTCTCTTTGGGGGAGGTGATGTTTGTAGATAATATCTGCAGAATCGTGCAACTTTTAGCCATGAAATCGAAAAAGATGCCAAGCACCTCGTCTGTGCTTTCCATTGACATTCCTGTTTTGTCAAGATCTTTTCTTTCATGATAATATCACAATTAGCCTCTATTCTTCCTTCTTGCTACAAGAGCTTTCCAAGAGAACATTACCATTAATAATAAGTGAAATATTAACACATCCAAGAGTGTGTGTAAGTACTCCGCATCTTTGCAGAGATTTTCCCTTTGTGATTTATCCTCTATTTTCTTAGCAGAAAACTACAAGGATCGTTTTTCCCTCTCATGCCTGGAGTATTCTTCTATACTCGAGAGGCCTCTGATTACAGGCACCCCACTCTTCACAGAACCCCATATCAGCTAAGATCTCTAGGTCTTTGTTTCCTACTCTTCTCTTGTTTTTCTAATTTTTCCCCTTTCTTTCATTTTTCCTTCTTTGGTGATTAGAATTTATTCTCATCTTGCATTTAAAAAGAAGACTTATTACTGAAGTAAGACTCTATGTAAGCGGGGGGGGGGGGGATCAACTCCTCTCCTGACAACAGTCCTCCATCTCTTTCCTGATGAATCATGTCTCTATAGTTTTCCTAAAGCATGCTTTTGCAGGTTAAGTAGAACTCCATCCATTTACTCAAAAGGGATCAAATATTTGCATTTCTTTCTATTCTCTCTCCACTCCAATGTAATTAATTATTCTCCCCAGAAGGTAGAATGATGTGTGTTGGTTTTTATGAAACAAGTCAGGTTTTGGTTCTGCCTACTGCTGGTCCCTCTCTGTGTTATCTGAAAGAGATAAAGATCCCCTGAGTCACTTACGTGTACACCACAAGGCTTTGAATTATTTTCATTCCTTAATACAGAAGATTGCCTATCTTCCAGCACCGACCAGTGTATTTGCAGATGGATTGCAAGGGCAAAAGATAGTATTTTACTATCTCTACTCCTTTTCACTCAGAAATATGTATCTATTATATTCCTGGCTTTGTATTGGGACTCAAGAAAACAAAAGGATGGAGATTAAAATTTTCTCACCCTCCAAACACAGAGTTGTAAGAAGGAACACAGTGGTCATTTCTGTGCAATGGCGATGTGGTGGTTGGAGAGACCACCTGATGGGAAGCTGATGCATGAAGTAATGATGGAAAGATAATGAGGAGGAAGACCACAAGGAGATGGTGAAAGAGGAACAAAATGACAGACACAGGGTGAGCTGCCAATAATTCATTATGCAGCATTGCCCAACTCTCCGCCATCTTGAATTTATTCTACAGTGTGCCCAACACTCCGCCATCTTGAATTTATTCTACAGTGCCATCTGTGGCCGTTACATTCCATCTGAGATGAGGGCAGTAGTTTCTGTTCTTACTTCCCAGCAGCCCACAGCTGCTGCTCTATGACAATGCCTATAGTTAATTTGCCTCAGTGAAAATATGTCTGTAGGTGCCTTTGAACTCTGGCACTTGGTTCTTTGCCTATGGTTTGCAGATCCTCAAACAACTTGTTTAGGTGGTTGTATGTCAGAATGAGTGAGGCATTGCCAGCTACACCAGGACCTGGCATAAAATATGGCTGAAAAGTAAGCCAAAGTTATATTGAGGAGAGTCTTGAAAGCCGTAAGATGAGTTTGTGTTTTCTTCTGCAATTGTTAAGAAGTAACCAAGAATGTTATGTGAAGTGGGTCCAGGAGGGGAGACCTGGAGGACTCCATATCAGGCTGAATGGTGATAGTTGGTATTTGGAAAGAGAGAACATTGCAATGTTTGTTGTAGTCCTCTCATCTTAAGCTTGAGATACTATGTGGACATGGTGCCTGTATTCTATGTTTACTTAATCCTAGGACCATGGGATTGTAGGAAATCACTCATTTTCTCTAGGGCTTTAAAAATACTCAAGAGAAAAATGCTACTGTCAGGTATATATAGGGACACACAACTTTACAGAGCCACAGTAAGAACAGTCTAAAAAGGAAAAATGGAAATAGGTATGGAAAAGATGAAATAAAGAAGTGTTATTAGAAAAGCAATGGTCGAATGTAACAGAACAGTAAACGTTTGTGTAGAATTTTCTGCTCCTACTCAGAGAAGAGTGGAGAGGTCCTTTCGGAGAAAGGGCCAGTGCTTTTCTCTAGCCACACGGCCATTGTGGGTGATTACAAAGAGGATCCAGCATCTTCCTTTTCCCTATCAGGTGGAACATTGCTCATGCAGCTCTATGAAGTTACAGTGCTGTGTCCCAGAAAGTGAAGTAAGAACTGTATTTGGTCATGCTGAGGCTTCTGATCAAAGCTATGACATATCTTAAAAAAAAAAAAGAAATTAAACAAACTACAAATGGAATATCTTCTGTCAAGGCAAGCAGGTTTTCTTATCTTGCCCAGAGTTTGTGTTTGTTTTATGTTTGCTGGTTTTTGTTGTTTGCTTGTTTGTGTTATTTGTTTTTGTTGTTGTTGTTGTTTGTTGGCTCTGTCATTTCTTTTTCATGATGGACAAGTGTTCCCATTAGATTATTCCGGACTAGAAGCATTCTGCAGTATTTAGAATATACACTTGTGTCTTTGCCAAAGCTAAACACCCAGATATAAGTAGTAAAAACCTAATTCGTCATCTACATTTTCACCCTGTACATTCGCATTCTGTACATGTTTTGCCAACAACTGGATTATTGGCTCACCTAACATAACAAATTGTTTGAGGCCAAAGTGCTCACAGGTGCAAAGCTTCTGTGAAAAGTAATCTTTTTAATCTCCTTGTATGGCTTTTATAACTGCTCTTGTTCTGAACTTATAGGGGAATAAAAGAGCTCTTGGTGTTTCCTAGCTACAAATGTTGCTCCTCCCTATTTCAGTACAATGGTGATAGGATCACAGGCAGGGAAGGATCAGCTGTGGTCTTACTGGCTGTCCAGCATTTGGGGGGGCAGATCTAGGGCAAGTCTCCAGAACTTGGCAATTCTTCCATCTCCCTGGCCAAAACACTTCTGTAATTTTTAGTTTCTCTGTGTTTTGTGATGAGCCAAGGAATCCCTGGCATTTTCCTCACTTATGTATTGGCCTGTTAACTGAGATGCTGCATAAAATCCTGGGCAGTGCCTGGCTCTTCAGAGAAGAACATGTCCAAATTGCTTTCAATTCTTTGCCTCCAAAATGCCCTGTATCTTACACAGTAGGCTGTCCTGGACATCATCCTCTTAGCCAACAAGGGTCATGGACCAGCATCTCCTCATCTTTGCCATTGTCATTAGCAACAGGAGCTAAATGTCACGGAGAGTGAATTTTCACATCACTCTCCTGGCCCTCATGGTGGCTGATGACTTTGCAGTGGGTCTCAGGAATGCTGGATCATGTGAAGAAATAGCCAAAACATAAAAATAAAATAAGGTCTAGACCCCACGTAAAAGGATTTTCTGGTTTGATTCAAGATGGAATGAATTCTTTGTTTTCCATACACCAGACATTTCAAAGCTGAAAAGGTCTGAGCTACAATAGTTCTGATTCCAAATTAGCTTTGCCCTTCTTCACCCTTTCTTGCTTACCTGAAGGGTTGTACAGACGTCCCAGAGTTGTGCTTGCTGTCAGAACAGAACACCAAGAATGAAAAGCTGGCTTGAACCTCAGTGCTACTTCTATGCAAAGCACACGTCTTTGAGACCAAACCCCCAGTGACTAAGGGAACAAGGAGCCACCATCTGCTCATGGAAGTGTGGTGTAGCAACAGTTTTCCTACGCAAGCAACAGGGGCCGTTAAACAGGATCTCATTCCTTTGACCAATGAAGATGGACTGTTTGTCCACCTTCTCAAATTCAACTTGTTTGAAAATGGAGCATAATTTTGGAAGAAAAACTCCATAAAAGCAAAACAAAAGTTTTAGTTGTCAAATTAAAAAACAACAACAACAACAAAAATAGGCATAGCTTCCTCCCAGACCTCTAGACTCGTATGTGAGTTTATAAGCTGTGTATATTCTACATACAAAAATAGATCTCAGTTTGTCCGGGCTCAGCCATGCTGTGGTAATGGTCCAAATGTACAAAATGAGCAAACAAGCTTTTCCTCACTCTGGTAAAGTCTAATGTGGCTCTTTGTGACTTTTCAGGAGATCGGACAAAGACTCCAATAACTGTTCAATCTGGGTAATATTGTCCAAAGCCTGGTTGGAGTAGGTTTAATAGAGGATGAGGGGGTCTTGATCATAGTTTATATGTCACCCCACCAACCAGCTCCAAAGTTCACGAGCTCATTGTGTGTCCTGTGTGTCCTGGGTTGATGAAAAATCTTCTCCTAAGAAGAGTTGAGGAAATATGGAAAGAAAGGACCACAGATGATCGGGAATTTCCAGGGACATGAATAAAATACATGAAATTAAGAAAGGGGATTTGAGAATTCAAGCCAAGGGATGGATGAAAACACAATGATATTAGTCAGTGAGAGGTTGCAGTAGAAAGAAAGGGAGCCCCGGAAGGGGAAATTGAACATGTGAAACTCTATAAATTGGCCAAGAGCAGGGAAAGTCACAAACACCTGAAGCGTTATCGCTAGAATACTCTACCACCTGTTGCCAAAACAAAGTGTTCTGAGATCTATCCACTACCTGCTTTCCTTCTTGTTTAGAACCATGTTTATTTACTCTCTTACCACAAGGACAAGGAAACTGTTCATTTCTCTTTACCATTTAAGAGAGTATTGACTTTTGCCTAGAAGAAGGCAGTTAATAACAAAATGGTGAGACAAAGGACAAAGGGTGAACCAATGCAACAGTGATACTCACAAGACACTGTGTTGAAAATGAGATTTACAACTTCCGGAAGGGGGGAAGTCGGGGCAGGGAGGGAAAATGGGAGAAAAAGGAGAGGTGGGAAACGATGTTTGACAAGAAATGTACTCAT